TTCAACTGAATTTTATGAAAGTCTTTCATTTGCTTTTTTTTTTTTCATGTAAGTTTGGTTTTCCCAAAATGTGTTGTACGCATGGAATTTTTATCACTTTATTGAAAATAAAGAACAGTAAATTTGTACCTTGGCCTCTGGCCTAGATCAACCCAAGTTAAATGAAGTCTATTTCGTACTGCTTAAAATATCAAATATGAAACTTCATACACTTTAAAGTTCATAAAATTCAACTGAGTCTTATTAAAGCCTTTCATTCGTTTTTTTAACCTGGAAGTCTGATTTTCCCAAAGTGTATCCTAATTTTGGCCTGATTCTTCTTCTGGAACCCCCTTGAAAGATATTGTCTCTCGTGTAAACAAGGTGCTCTGCCAACTGAGCTATAGCATTTATTGCTTGTGAGTAATGTTTTACTAGGTGTCAAGGTCTTAAATTGAAACAAAAGTTGATCCAAAAGCAAACCAAGTATCTTACAGACAATTAAACAATCAGCAGTTTTCATGATCTCAAGATTATACTATGGCTATAGCTTTCCAGTTCTGGCACTAATATATTCCAGATATTGTTATAAAAAGAATAGATCCTGATAGCTTTCCATTTACATGAACTAGACATGTTAATATACAAGGGATCTTCTGTATAGACTGTTTTATGGTTTCTGATATAATTTTTTTTATTGTTAGGTTCTTAGTTTGATCCCAAAGGAGTCAGATGGTGAGCAGTTTGAAGATGCTCTTACTCGCGTTCGTCGTTGTGTTGGTGGTGGGACGGCCACTGAAAATGCCGATAGTGATAGTGATCTGGAAGTGGTTGCTGATTGTATTCCTGTCAATCTTCGCTGCCCTGTAAGTGCATATCAAACTTATAATCCTGTTGCTTGCATCATCTATTATTTTGTGTTGTTAAGTTAATCACTGTGTTATCTCTACATCCATGCCCCTTCAGAGTTAGATAATCAAGCTGCAAGCTTGTGCAATTGCACACAATGTGGCCTTAGTCGACCCCTAGAGCTCTATTTGTGAATCAAGAGCCACCACTAGCCACAATCTTAGCTAGCGTTTGGGCATAGATTTGATTGAAACTTGAAAAAAGAGTTTTTGAAGTTGTGTTGAAAAATAATTTTTGAAAGTTGAACTTGTGTTTGGACATGCATTTTATTTGAAGAAAAGTTGAAGTTTTGTGAGTGGAAGAATTTCACCCAAAAACTGCCCTAAACCAGTTTTTGGGAACTTGTAAATTTTAGAATTTTTTCCCCAAAACATGATCATATTTCATAAACAAAAATTGTTCTCAATTTTTTTTGAATAAATGAAGCCAAAATTTATGGCCAAACGGGAGCTTAGTCTTGGATGTTATTTAAGTGTTTATTTTATTGTTTGAACAAGAAACCATAGGATTGACATTTAGGTATCACCTGATCAAGAAAACATGGTGCACGGGCTCCCGAGAGGCCTTCCTACTGTACTGGTGTCCACCTTGTATCCTGCTATTATTATGTGAATTAATTTCTCTGGAGGAGGATAGCTTGTCAATATTTTCAATGTTTTTCTTCTATTTGGATTCTATCCTCTGTATGGCCTTGTTGCAATATTTTATTTGCTGTGTAGTGCAGCACGAGTCATAGAGTGCTCAATTTTTTATGTATGTGCATTACAGATGAGCGGTTCAAGGATGAAAGTTGCTGGAAGATTCAAACCTTGTATACACATGGGCTGCTTTGATCTTGAAGTCTTTGTTGAAATGAATCAAAGGTCAAGGAAGGCAAGGAACTATGACCCAGAACTAGATGTTTCCGCCAGCATAATATCTGAGTTTCCATCATATTATCCACCGAATATTGTTTGTTTACAAATCTTGTTCATGTGATGCAGTGGCAATGCCCCATCTGTCTCAAGAACTACGCTTTGGAGCATGTCATCATAGATCCATATTTCAATCGAATCACTTCTCAGGTATTGCTAGCTTTTGTTTATGATAATAATTATGTCTTAACCTTCTTTAGCTGATTTTTCACTCGGTTTTGCGGTACAGCTGCGAAGTTGTGGAGAAGATGTTGCAGAAATTGAAGTGAAACCTGATGGTTCTTGGCGTGCAAAGATAGAAGGTGATCGACGGAGTCTTGGGGATCTTGGGTGCTGGCACTTACCTGATGGGAGCCTGAGCGAATCTCTAGATATAGAGTCGAAACCTAAGCCCGAAATTCTTAAGCAGATTAAACAGGAAGGAGGCTCTGATGGCAATGGTCTTAAAGTTGGATTGAGGAAGAACATAAATGGTTTGTGGGAAATCAGCAAACCGGAAGACCAGACATTTTCATCTGGAAGTAGATTGAGAGACAATTTTGGTCAGGATATTATTCCAATGAGCAGCGGTGCCACCGGTAGTGGCAAAGAAGGTGAAGATGCCAGCGTTAATCAAGATGGCAATGGGAACCTTGACTTTTCGAACAATGCGTTTGATCTTGAGGCCATTTCTCTTATTGACCCAACATATGGTTTTGGCAACGGAAATCCATCGGTACCAGCAGGAGATGCCGAAGTTATTGTACTAAGTGATTCTGAAGAAGAAAATGAGCCAATTATCTCATCTGGGCCTATCTTTAATAACAACCATAATGATGCACCTGTAGTTCCTTTTCCAGGTCAGTCACAAGGAATTCCAGATGCTTTTCATGACTCTACGCTGGTTAACAGTGGGAATTCATGCCTGGGGCTGTTCAATTCTAATGATGATGAATTTGGGATGAACATGTGGTCTTTGCCTTCTGGAACCCAAGGGGGCCCTGGTTTTCAGTTATTTAGTTCTGATGCTGATGTTTCAGGATCTTTAGTAGATGTGCAGCATGGTTCTATTAACTGTCCCAGTTCTCTCGGTGGCTATGGGTTGGCTGCAGATACTGGCATTGGATCTACTTCTCTTCTTCCTGAAACATATGCAAATCGCCCCAATGCTAATATAAATGACAGTTTAGTTGATAATCCCCTAGCATTTAGTGGTAATGATCCCTCACTTCAGATATTTCTTCCTACTAGACCATCTGATACGTCAGTTGAGGCTACGAGGGATCAACCTGATGTTTCAAATGGCGTTGGTACTGAGGATTGGATATCACTTCGACTTGGTGGTGATGGAGGTGTTCATGGTGATTCTGTTGCAAATGGGTTAAGCTCTGGGCAGCAAGTACAAACAAAAGACACTGCCTTGGNGGTTTTGGGGGGGGGGGTCTCATTATCCCATTATGTCAGAATTTACATTGCGGGTCCTGCTAAAAAATATATAACGGGTAAATTGACCAGAATTAACTGGTTAAGCAGCTAGTCTTGTTTGGATTTACAACAGCGCTAGTTGGGAAGCTCCAGTATAAGCACAATTCACAGAACTTAAGTAGTGCCATGTAGCTCTTTTACAGTTATTTTCTTTTCGGTGCAGTATGTCTACCTATCCTGGTAGATGATATTCTTACAAAAGAGAATGTGTTATCAGTAGTTCTTTTTTGATTCATGTATTGGAGCTTTTCTAAATGTAGGCAGTGATGCTACTGTTTGTGCAGCTTCATTGCTTCTTGGTATGAATGACAGCAGACCAACTAAGAGCAGTAGAGAACGATCAGATAGTCCTTTTACATTTCCTCGTCAACGTCGTTCTGTAAGACCAAGATTGTATCTAAGTATTGATTCGGATTCTGAATAGGAGCAGATTCCATGGTGGCAGGACAATGATTATTTTTGCTCAGCAAAGTATGTGGATGTGACAAGATGAGCTCTTGCTAGTGCGCACACATCGATCAACAGGAAACCGCTCTGTTACATCACTGCTGGCACCTAGGAGTTCTCTTATTTGTAGGTACTCCACTCTGCAAATTCGTATTAATATGTATTCATGTTTGTTCATTTCAGATTCCTAATTCCCTGGCGCCCTCACCTCTCTCCTTTATGTTGCGAGCAGGACCGGAACACATTCTTTTCTCTTCCATTTCCTGGATGATTCCCCAGAGGGTGATCGCTAGTGAATTGTACATTTGGACAGCTTAGCTCAGTACAAAAAGTAACATCCACTGGTAAATCAACTTTGGATATAGAGGGGAGGCATTTTAGTGATTCAAAATCTCCTTTTGCCTTGTGGGAAGCCAATAGCCTGTAAATCTTTTAACTAATTTGTAGAAAGTATAATGTATTAATCGGTCTAGCTCAATGGACGGTGGATAGCGCCAGATTGTGCATGAGTGCACGATGTGAAAATGAGGTTAAATCTCGTGATATTTTTGGTGCGAGGAAAGGTAGGAGGGACTGAAGACACTGAGGTTTTTTGCTCCCAGTCCAATGTATTTGGAATGAGAAAGGAATGCAAAACTCATGATAGAGTTGTATGATTATGTGTGATATGAAGGCGGAGGAAAACTGTGCCCAACCCTTATGTGAAAATGATAACCTGACCCTTGTTTCTTGTTTGTAAAGCATATTGATAAGCTGACTCAGTTGATATTTGCTAGTTTATTCCTCCTTGACACCTTAATATCATAAATTTTGGCGGGTTAAACTGTGGTATAAATGACTGCAATCTAAAGACACAAAAGCCGAGAGCATTTCTATCATATGGTCTATCTTTAGAAAAGCCAGTTTCTCTCCTTTAAAACTGGCTTTTGAAGGACAAGTGTCTTATGAGCGCAAGTGTTCATAAGATCTGTTATACGATTTCTATCATAAAAGATCTGTAAAACACTTGCACTGCAAAAGGACACTTGCGATTCTCTCCAAAGGCAATAGTTCACTGCAAAAGCAGAAACACAACAGAACATAATCTCACATCTCTATCTGTCGCTCCAGATGGTACTTCCGTAGTTTTACCTTTGAGGTACATCAGCTTCTTTAAACGTGCCACAAGGGAACAATGCCCTCCTTTAAAACTGGCTTTTGATGTCCACAAGCGGCAACAGTCCTATTTGACTTGGGTGGCATACAAGAAATCTGTGCTATTACGGATCAAGCCATAAATGCATATACTATCAATCTTCTAATCCAATAATAATATTACTGATGGGAACTGATGGAATTATTCTCCAACTGCTGAAGTGCATAAAATCCTGCAGTGAAAATAGAGGATGGATACCTCAGTTCTACCAAAAATCTCTGATTCTTTTGAGAGCCTAAATTACACAACTATAATTGCTTACAGTGACCCTATATCTCAAGATAAACCTGATCCAAGATTCTTATGCAGCTGTTCTTCACACTAGAGTCCATGAGAGTTTGCAAATAATTTATAGCATACGTGGAGTGAATTCAAGTTCAGCAGTCATCCTTTTCTGGATCAAGAACTGGGAGAATGCCCAATGCTGACGAAGAAAGATGCATACCCCGCACAAAACCTCCATACCCAATCTTTATCTTATAGCACAGCAGCAAGATAGAATCCCAAAGTGCTGTTCTTCCCTGCAATGAGAGAACAGGTGTAAGGGTTTGGTTACACAATTACTGAACTAGCACTTGAGGATGACTCGATGAACTTGGATAGCACACTGTTACCATATTTAAGGGAATGCAAATTTTCAATAATTTTTCAATTGTCTGTTGTATTATCCATCAACCTTTTCGGAGAGGTGGTATCTTATCATTTTCAATTATCATTATTATCAAGCTACCAACAACACTTCTAATCAGAGTACTCCTTGTACTACTGGTGGCAACAGCAGCTATTACTCTTAGTGTTGTTTAGCAAGTAAACTCATCAGCAGCATTCTGAATGAGGCCATATTTTAAAATTTTCATCTTTTGGGTCTTGTGATATGTCAGAAGCCCAAAAGATGTTAATTGTTGGCGGAGGCAACTAGGCGCTATAAAACAAGCATAATGCAGTCAATAAGCATCTTTGCAGTAATAACTTGCCCGGAGAGAGAACTGAGGCTTCTTATCCCAGGATAGGGCAAAAACTGGGGGACTTTGTTTTCCCACAGCCAATATGCAAGCTCCTGGATGGAGCACAGAGGGTACACCTGACAAAACAGCTACATACTTTTCAGGGAACCTTTCTTTAGGAGGTAATACACCCAAAAATAAGGGGTTTTTGCTATACTGGGCTCCAACATAAGCTGTAGGATCAACATGTAGCATCCACTTTGGGTGCTCCAGGAAAGCACAAAATAAATATAGGAGCAAATGAGAATCTGTTGGAAGCTCGGAACTCCATTTCTTGGTTCCTTTCCCATACCCCTCTACACTGCCCAAATAATCATAGTTCCTCGTACAGGTTCCTTCTGCAAGCTCTGCAAAGAAATTGGGGGTCAGATCAGTCATGCAACAATAATAGAAATCAGCATACTTTCTCTCTTATTTCTTCTCCAAACATGTAATGGAGATCCAAGAGTGACTGACATGCAAGGCAAAGCCGAGAGTCAAACTACCTCGGATCCTATGTACTGTATATTCTGCACGGACACCGCTTTGTGGCAGCAATCCCTTGGCCCATTCTCCTTTCATTAAGGAGAGAAGCCTTTGGTGTTCAGTGATGGCATCAATGCACTCTTGTAAAATAGGGATCTGAGAGTTCTGTGGCGAGGATAGCTGAAGAACTCCAGAAGTTGTCTTTGCTGCAAACAAAGAAGCATCGACAAGATACTTAAGAATTATGACATTGGCATGTCCAACAATGAGAGACAACTTGAATAATGAAGTGCAAGACTAATAATCTTAATGGGGGGTGAAGTGACTTACGCATGCAAGAATCAAGAGCTTGAACAAGAGTTACACGCAGCTGGTGAAGTAATCCATCTTCCTCAACAGAAAATGAGGGTTTCCATTCATTAGTCCTCTCCGTAGCAGATATAGCAGCAGTCCCAGTATCAGGCGCTTCATTTCCGACTTGACTGATTGTGATTGTAATGCCTAGTTTGGCTGCAGCTTGCATAACCTGACAGCATCACTAAGCATGAAATGGCTAGTAAAATGGCAAAGGAGATGAAACTAACTTGACCTTAGTCAACAAGCTGAGAAACGTATAAATACAAAGGATATAATGAATTAGCATCTGAAGATTTTAATGCTTTTCTCTCAAAAAAGATTATAATGCATTTTCCTTGTTTTCTTTTTAATTTCTCAAGATTGCCATGCTTTAAAACCAAGCACTTAGGAGCGTGATGGAGTCCTTGTTGTACAAATTCAGCACCCTCTTGGTGCATTTTAATGAAATGATAAATTATACATCAAAAGAAACAAAAGGAATATGCATTTCTCCAACATAGCAAATTTTGATGCGTTGAAGTGCACCTAACACCAGGAGGTGCCAAAACCAAAGTCAAAATTGGCAGTCTCTTTCGACTTTCTTAATTCAACAGGTCAGTAAGAAGTCTTTTCAAACTATTAGAAAAGAGTTTAAGTTATATGTATTGATGGTGTAAAAATTATTTACACAACCAGGTAACTTATTAAGGAACTACTGGTAAATCTCTTTATAAGCGTTAATTGTTAATCTGCCAAAGATGGTAAGTAGCCTACTATTATAGGTTAAAGTTGTCTACCAGTGTAAAATATATAACTTAAATCCTTTAGATAATACTTCCAAGAGTACAAAGACATCAAACTAGGTATAAGGATGCAATGAGTCAAATGCTTATAATAGAAGATAAACATAAATTACAATAAGACAATTCTGCTGGACAAGAAGATTTCATTTATAGTTTAGAAGCTGAGCACATGTTTGAGTATACAATCTTTGTTTCTTAAACTGCACACAAAACTATTGAACTTTAAGGTTGCTGATGAAAGGAAAGAACAAAATTTACATAATACTATGACATGACTATCTTTCTCTTTTCTATGAATAACATGGCTACCTTTACCTTTCCTTTAAAACATGTTTGTAACAAAAAGAGGATTCTTTCTTTTTCATAATTTGTAGCTTCTACACATTCTTAAGTGGCCCAATCGGTATATAAAAACAATCCTTAAGATGAGGAGTATTTTTCCATGATTCTGAAAAGTTACAAGAGAACAAGCGAGCAAAATTATGTTCCTTCTGTCCAGGATAACAGGTATCAATATATCTATTTCACTTGTATTTATGAATTATGATACGATGATAAAAAGTAGGTGCTAACTCTTTCAACTCTCTTCGCACTACATCTTTTCAGTCCAGTGCTCTGCAGAAAATACATAACTTCAATGCTTGTAAGCTTAGCTTAAGTTGTTCTATTATTGTCTGATGCACATAAATATGACTGCTCTGTTTCATCCTTATTTTGATTATTTCATCAAAAGAATTACTCTTCGTTTAAAAAAAGAAAAAAACTTCTGTGGATCTCTCAGGCATAAGAGCGTTTCCTCTATATCCATGTGATGTACTGTGATACAAGCCTACAACTCAATCTATCATGGTCACTATGAATATGAAGCCAATACATACCTAAGGAGCTCTAAATGACATCAATGAGCAGTATTGCAGGAAAGATTGGTCGAAATCAACACTTAGGGTTTTTCGGGAAGATCATCAAGTGTGCCAACAAGAGGAAAATACATGAGATAAGGAGAAAAAGAGAAAAGCAGAACATCACAAGTATCAGAAAAAGGAATAAAAAGAGAAAGAGCAAAGATTCTAAACATAAAAGTGGGTGCAAGAATCCACCTTCGTGTGACTAGTATCAATTTTGTAAAGCAAAGGCTTTAGCAGCATGGAGGAAAACCATTGCCTGAGTCGATCACGCCACTGCTCGATCTGTGGATAGATCCCCAGATGCTCAAATGCTTCAGTGGACTCTTCCATTGACATTGGAGGAGGTAGATCGCCTTCCCCTTTCTTTGGTGGAGTTGTAAACTTTTGGGAACCAGGGGACATCCTAACAGGCCTTAGAGGAGTACTTCTTGGAGTTCCAGAAGTATTAGTGGAACTGGGCAAGTTACCAGGACTGGCTACGCCAAACCCACTTATGGTGGGCNACCCACTTATGGTGGGTGGAGGAGTTGCCAGCTTGCTTCCTGATTCAGTAATTCTCTCATCAACATCAGCCAAGAACTTTTCAAGCTGTTCCTCTGTTGCAATCTCTTTATGAAAAGTAGCTCGCTTGTTCGACCAAGGGGTGGCAACCAAGTGTTCCCCACCTGGTGAAGACTGGATTGAAGATGATAGAGAAGAAGATGCTGGAACAAGATACAAGGATGGGGAAGCCGGTGATTTTGATGGGGTGCTGAAAGATGGTACTTTAGTTCCACTACCGGTTCTTGCTTTGTCACCACTAAGTCTAGATGAATGGTTTGAACTAGCAATTGGCTGATGAAGAGGGACAAGGACATCAGACAGAGAGGCTGAGATACTTCTTGATTTGGGAGGTCTCTTTGAAGACTCTAGAGTAGTTTGCTCAACTTTTGGTTTAATCCCCAAAAGCCCTAACTGTCTATTAGTCAGATGTGTATGCTCCTTTGTTCCTTTGGTAGGTGGCATAATTGTTACATCAGTAGTCCTCGTTGTACATAGATAAATAACCTTGAAAAGGGCAAGAAAGGTTCCAACTAAAACTATGGCTGCAAAAGCCTGTATCAGTCTGGCAAAAAGACCTGCACATAATGGTAAAATGTTAGTTACAAGCTGATGCAGTAGTGTTTGAGATCAGTCGAGAAGGACCACATCACTTACAAGCAGTTTCTTGAGAAACATATTTGAATTTCAGACTGTCAATAATCCCGCTTTCCCTGCAATCACTCAAATTGAAATGAATCTATTAGTTGAGACACGAAACACCAAGCTATAGCTACGCATTGTTTTTTTTATAAGTGAGCTATAGCTATGCATTGTTATGGTTATAACTTTCTTTTTCTTTCTCTGAGGCTGGTTGTATAAGGTTTCTTCAAGCCATACCTTCTTTAAACCTTATTTCCTTTTTAAGGAAACTCAATTAAGGGTTGAAATGCAAAGTCTTTTAACATTATTTTTATTTAAAAAGAAGCATTAAACAAATGTGCAGTTAATTCCCATCAACTCTAAGTTCCAGAGCAGCTTCTGAAAGCACGATAACTCCTTCTAGATTTAGGCTCTCATCAATTCATCTAAGCCTTCGTTAGAGGCCAAGAGAAAATTATCAAATGGACCTGGTAAGCCATCCCTTCCACTGCCCTAATCAACGACAAGATGATATAGCCTCGCTTATATCTTAAAAAGTGAGGAGAAAAAGGAATATAGCGCTCCTCCCTCTGCTAGCAAATGTGTTTGGCAAAACCAAACTGAATTGAACTTTCAAACTCGAAAACTAAGATGGCTGTCCATCCTAATACATGTAATCTTGTTAACGCACTCATCATAAAATTTCTACTGACATTGTAGGCGTGCTTTGAATCAACATCTTAATCAAATGGTATATACATTCCACAACACCAACATAAAGCAAGTAATTTCCGGCTTAACTACAAAGTTTCCACTCTTTTCCAACCGTTCCAACATGTTGGCAAATATCATTCCACCACCTCTCTCAACTCTTTTACTCCAAGTTCAGCACTCCGGGGGGGGGGACCTAAGTAGGAGTAAGGGGGTTCAATTGAATCCCCTTCGTCAATTATACTGTGCAAATATAGAAAAAACGAGATTTTTTTGTTATATATAAACTATTGAATCCCTGTGAATATAAGGAAAAATTCTAGTGCTGTGACAAAGGGGGTTCAAAAATTGCTTTTGGTGGCAGGTTCAAATACTAGGCTCGACATTGTAGTTTCTTTTTGAATTCTTTTGTACCGCACTAAACAACTTTCATGCAACCCTTGGACAAATGCAAGTCCACGCCCCGCCTTTGGCTCGATATCTATATATAGTTAAAAAAAATCAAAACATATATGTGTGTGCGCGCGCGCATAGTGAGTCCAATAGACTTAAAATCATACAATGGCACACGTTGCTGAGTTCAGAAACAACAAAAGTAATAGCAACAACTATATCTCAATTCCAAATTAATATAAATAACAATGAAAAGTGCGATTAAATAAAAAATACAAAAATTAATACCTAATAAATATGCTGAGAAGAGCAGAAGCGGAAGCGAATGAAATAGAGAGTATGAAAAGGAAAGTAGACTTGGAGGGACGAAGGCTGTTGGTTGTTAGGGCAGCAGAGAAGGCTGGATTCTGGTACACCGCGAATTTTGAGGGTTTAGGTGGAGGCGAGCTCTGCTCTTTTACTCCTCCGCCGCCGCCGGCACTCATTCTCACTGCTTTTTCGTTGTGGTTTTAAACAACAATCGCCATTATTGATAACTTCGGTTTAGCATTCGAGTTCGCCGCAAACCTCACAGTCGCTCAAATTTTTGGCTGTTTGAAATTAGAGCATGTGCAGAAGAGAAGAGGGAAAGAGTTTTTGGTTTAGTAATTAGATACACTCATGTTTGAGAAATTATATTTGAGCCCTAGTTATTAGAAACTGCATTCCCCGAATCCCGCGTGATATAGGAGTAACTAATCCCGGCATAAATTTTATTATTTGCCTTTAACTCATGTGGGTATCTAAGTATTATTTTATACAAGATATAATGTGTATCAATAATGCGGGAAATAACCATTTACGTAAAAGTAAGGCAAAATACATAGTTTACTCATTCATTTTGTACCCAAATTCCTGTTACACACTTATTAACTCCAAACTTTTTAAAAGTGTGTCAATGACACACCACTTTTGACCAGCCTAGTTAATACTTAATGTTGTGCATACACGCGCTTATGTAAATTAAAAACAAATGATTCTTTAATTAAAAATGGACAACCCGACCCAAACTTAAAATAAATCCCAATTTACAAGCTTTAAAAAAATAAAAATAAAGTAGCTATATGTCTTCCTTAACACCCCCACCCCATGGGTTTATCCTCTTCCCCAATCCTACCTTCACGCTGTCTCCTCCTCCAGTATCACTTGTATGTCGGCTTCCTCCAACCCACTCTCCATCCCTATTATCTTCTCAATAATTTTCAGATCCACCGGTGGCCATAAAACTTATTTCCATCGCTGGAGCAGGGACGAAAACAATAAAAGCTTGACCAAAGATTTGTCAGAAAAAGACTAAAAAAGATTTAAACCCAAAATTGCACTGGAAAAAAAAAACAAAAACAATCATTCAAACAGGATTTGATGATGGATTTCGACACTAACTTCTTTTAATCCCAGAGATAAGAACTCCTCCGACAGTCGAGAAAACCAGGCCGATAATTACTAAAAAACTACTGTTTCATCTAGAATCGGTGATTTTGTTAGGTTGATTTTGAATCAATTTTCACCAACTCGATTCAAGATGATTTGGATTTGCGAGTCAAGAAATCGAGATAATGGGTTTCTTAACCATTGCTGGGTTTTCTTCGATTTCTTCTCTGCCTTTTTTTTTGGGTTACTTTTCAAGTGATTTCTTAACCATTGTTGTTGCTTGTTTCTTTATGTTCCTGACAATGAAGATGATGATAGAAAAAAATGAAGAAAAAAAAACTAGATATGTGGCACTAAAATGAGGCTTCAGATACATTTTTTTACTATTCACTCACATGCTTTTGGTATAAAATACGCATTTGTCATGGGTCAAAAGTGGTGTGTCATTGACACACTTTTGAAAGGTTTGGTGTGTAACGTTAAAGCCGTGATCAACAGGTGTATAACCGGGATTTGAGTGCAAGGTGGATGGGTAAACTATGTATTTTGCCTAAAAGTAAACAACAATTACTATACGTAAATAATTTATGTATAACACTTCATTTATTATTAATAATCATTTAATAATTACTTTATTATTAATTACCACAAAAATAATCCTCGTATTATAATCTCTTCCACCATAGTAAGTGAACCTAAGGACCTCTTAGCATAGTATATTTGGCCAAGCTTTTAATATCAATTTAAAAAGTGCCTTTCAAAAAAAAAAATACTTTTGCTAAGACGCAATTTGTATTTGGCTAATTAATTTGAAAAGTATTTTTAAACAGCAATTACTGTTTGGCCAAACTTTAAAAGGTAATTTTTAAGTGTGTTTTTCTTGAAAATACTATTCAAAAAAGTACTTTGCAAAAAAACGTATTTTTTTTGCTTCTACTTAAAAATATCTTTTCTCTTTTACAAATTTGGCCAAACACATTTAACTTTTAAAAAAAATACTTTTGATAATAAATGAAAGTACTTTTAGCCAAAAAAGAAGCTTGGATAATTAACTTTTATATGTGCACAGTCCCTTCTAAGAGCACCAATCGAAGAGTTTTGAATGAGATCGAAAATCAATCAATCCCAAGAACTACAAGATTAAGGTAATAATTAACCATCTATAATTTGAATTTTTTGTAAAATTCAATCATGTTATGAAATAATAAAAGAAGAAGAATAACATTGCAGAGAAAAGTAGAGAGAGAATTCTTATTGCTTTGAAATGAATTATAATGGAATAGAACCCTCTATCTATATGGAGATGGTGACTTAACCACCAAGTAATAAACCCTAAGATCTCTCTAAAATATAGACATTTACCTTAAATAAAACTCTATTTATAACACTCTCCTTGAATGCCTATTCAACGGATAATGTGTCTCGTTAAAATCTTAACTAAAATAAAATCCAATGGGAAAAAAATTCTAGTAAAGGAACAAGAGTACACATATCTAACAATACGCCTTTTGGTTGCCTCGTTAAAAACCTTGCAAGAAAAATCCAGTGAGACAAAACCTTGTAAGGAAAAAAGAGTACAACGCGTATTAACTCCCCCTGATGAGAGTATCAATTTACATCCTTGAGCCTTTGCATTCCAATCTTATGCTAGCTTCTTGAAGGTTGACTCATTGACTTTATACTTTCAAGTGTTTGAACTACATGTCCAAAAATACATGTCTTTCATATGAAACCAATTCTATTTGAATTGTGTCTCTTCCATTTGGCCAATATTTTGTGTCTATATTTGACAGACTTGAGGCCCTCATCTATACTTAGCGCTATGATAGATGCCGTCAACGAATAATTTATATTGGTTCCACTTTTTTTTTTCCATAAAGACATGACATAGAGATCTCTTCATTCATATTTTCAAGTACCTGAATCTCTCCTGAGTTGTTATGAAGTTTTATGTCATGTGATCTTCTAGATCACTTGCCTCCTTTATTATGATCATTTGCTCATCTTCTTTATCAAGAAGTTTATTTGAAACCAATCTATATATGCGCTTTAAGCATACCATAGACTTTGTCCTTCTAGGACTTAATATGATCAATTGCAATGAGAATATAGTTACTTTCTTTGGGTCAGCAAATGCGTCTGGCATGCTTTGCAAGATATTGCAAATAAATTATCTTTTTATGAACTTCAAGTTCATATTATCTTATTCGAGGATCAAAATTTACAAATGATAATTCATTCCGCGTAACTTTTTCTCAATTGTTTATCTGTCACGACCCTAAACCCGGACCCGGTCGTGATGTCGCCTCTCGTGAAGACAAGGCCAGCCGACACTTCCCAAATCCAATTATTAACAGTTAAACCATAAGAGATAAATCTAAAACATGATAAGATAATCCAAAGTTAACAGATAATAAATTCGCGGAAAATAACCCAACATAGCCAGATACCGGGGTGTCACTAGTCATGAGCATCTAGCAAAATGGAATACTCCAAATATAACTACAGAGTTTAATACAGAAAACTAAGAACATGAAGGACTAAGATAGGGAAGAGCTCCGGGCTGCGAACGCCAACAACTACCTAGAGACTCCTCGGATCCGCCTAAGCCGAAAATGATTAGTACTCGGGAGCGGGACCAGATACGCCTGAATCTGCACACAGGGTGCAGGGAGTAAAGTGAGTACTCCAACTCAATGAGTAATAATCATAAATAAAGACTGAAAGCAGGAAATCATGTAAGGCACAAACACATGCTATAATGAAGCAGTAAAACCATTAGAAACAGTAAACTAGTGAAAGATAGGTAAAAATCCTTTAACTCCATTTAACTTCATGAAAAAACTTTTTCAACAATTAAGCAGATAATTTACAGTCAATTATGAAAATAAACACATAAAGGTTCGCCCCTCGGGCACAATATCAACAAATTCGCCCCTCGGGCAACATCTTAGAACAATACCAGCCCCTCGGGTAATCACATAGAACAATACTAGCCCCTCGAGCTCAATCTCACATCACAATGGGTAACCGCGCTCTATGGGGGTGTACAAACTCCTGTAGGTCCCCCCTACGTCCCAAGCGCAATATCAAGCCACCTCGTGGCATCATCACTAGGCCCTCGGCCTCATATCAATCAAGTGACCTCGTGGCATACATATCTAAGGCCCTCAGCCTCATAATCAGTATCAAATGTTTCCTCACAACATAGGCCCTCGCTCGGCCTTACTCAGTCAAAATCCTCACAAGCCACTCAGGCAATAGTAAAACATGATTCTCAGCCCAAAAATATCATTTAAAAGATCATATAAGTGTTAAAACAAAGTAAAACATGGCTGAGTACAAAAACAGTGAAATATAACATGACTGAGTTCAAGTATAAAGTCAAAACAGTGAGGAAATACCAGTAAAAATCCCCGAATGGTTCAAATAGTTGGCACAAGGCCCAAATATGGCATTAAGCCCAAATCATGATGATAGCAAATAGATTTCAGTCAAATACGTGGTAAAATAGTCATTTGGGACGGACCAAGTCACAATCCCCAATAGTTCACGACCCCACGCTCGTCATCAAGCATGTGCGTCACCTCAATATAGCACACGATGTGCAAGTCCGGGGTTTTATACCCTCAGAACATCATTTACAATCATTACTCACCTCGAACCGGTCAAATCTCTAGCTCGCGACGCCTTGAATCGGCCTCCACTCGCATCGAATCTATCCAAAAATCAGAACGAGGTCGTCAAAATATGCTAAGGGAATGAAGTCCAAGCGAAAATAATCAATTTACAAAATAAATCCCAAAATTACCAAAACCCGACCCCCGGGCCCACGTCTCGGAATTCGATGATTTTTATATCAATAGATTCCTTATCTCCCCACGAGTTCATACATATCAAAAGTTATGAAATCCGACCTCAAATGGTCCTTCAAATCCTTAATCAAAGGTCTAAATTTTCAAGCCCTAGTTCTTCAATTTTTGGCTTAATTTCCATGATTATTTAGGTGAAATTCACATTAGAATCAAGTTTTAAGTCCAAAAATCTTACCTCCAAGTGATTCCCCTAGAATCCCTCTTCAATCTCCTTCAAAAAGCTACAAAAATGACCAATAATGGAGGAAATAAACCCAAAAATCGCACGAGTATTTAAACATTCTGCCTAGGCCTGAAATCCTTCTTCGCGAACGCGGTCAAAGCCTCGCATTCGCGAAGTATAAAATGACTTTGACCAAAAATCCTTTTACGCGAACGTGACATGCCCATCGCGAACG